TCCGACAAATTTGATTGCTGTACTCGCATCGCTCGAGCATCAAACTCAAATTCGTCGGAAAACTGTTTCTTTCTGCAGTTAGTGCATAATGTATACTACTATCATTAAGTAAAAGTGGAAAAAAATATTCCCTTTAAGAAAAAGAAGTTAATGTTGAGCGGGTGCGTAAGCACATCGACTTTCGTGTCATTTTTTGTTTATGTCTAAAAGAGAAAATTCTAATAAAATTAAATGATATTTTAAATTTAAATTCTGGGTCCTTGCTAAAATAAGAAAAAAATAAAATGAGACTTACGAAAATAACCATTTTAAAGATAACAAATATGAGTAGATCAAAGGCGACAAAATTCTGGGCGTTGGTGATCTGTCAGGCGAAATATATTTTATAGTCCATGTGTTCCTTGTATCTTTAGAAAAATCGCTTGAAATTCTCTTTCAGTCGATGTTTAAGCGCTGATGTTGGTCGCACCGTCATCAGTGGATATTTACCAGGGATTGGTCAAACAAGGGTTTGAAAAAAATTCAACCTTCAGGCGATGGCAAGTGCTTGGAAACTGTTATATTGATAGAGGCATAAAAAGAGACATACCTTAAGCATGGGCTGGAGTGGCCTGCTCATGCGCCGTTTCCAAAAAGCGTGATAAAAAATCAGGAATCACCAGATGCGTAATTCAGCAATCAATTCCGTTGTCAATCGTCATAGGCCTCGAAGTCGTTGAAAGCGTGATAATATATTCAGGCTGGTCGTATCACCATCGTCGAAAAGAATAAAATTTTGTGCAATTTATTAAATTAAAAGTTATTTTGATAGTCAAAAGGTTGATGCATCCAAATTCGAGATGTCTAAGTTGGTTTTAAAAAGCTCCTTCGAATTCTTCAAAAATTTTCAATTTACTGTATTCTATTGAAAACACGTAAAATGCAGACTTTATTATAAGTTTATTAAAAAGTTCAAAAGATTTTTAAAAAGATTGAAATTTCTCTGAGTTATAAACAATTGGAGTTTTTTACAATGCTTAATTAAAAAATTAATATCTCGTGATAGAATCAATGGATTTTAATAAACCTTGAATTTTTGTACACCTTAAGGGGAGATCCTACTTTACATGGTCAAAAAATCGATGTATTGTTTTTGCTTATACATCCAAGAATACGTACCTAAAGTTTTAAAAACAAATCATTAATGTTTTTCAAGTTTTTTGGCTTTGGCCGATTTTAATATATAATGGCTTATCTTACTTAGTATTAATCCCTCTTCTATTTTAATCAAAATTTTTTTTAAAATTGTTTTTAATAATTTTGACAACCAGTTAAAATCATTATTTTATTTCAAAATAATGATTTTTTGTTTTTATCACTTAAAATTAGCGAATTTCACTATTTATTTGAGGCGCAGTAATTCTTCCCAAAAGACATTTGCTCGAATGGACATTTGATCGAACGGCATTTGATCGAATAGACATTTGATCGAATGGACATTTGCTCGAAAAGATATTTGATCGAAAAGTCATTTGATCGAATGGACATTTGATCGAATAGACATTTGATCGAAAAGACATTTGCTCGAATAGACATTTGATCGAAACGACATTCGATCGAATACTCATTTGATCGAATGGACATTTGCTCGAAAAGACATATGATCGAAATGTCATTTGATCAAATAGACATATGATCGAAAAGACATTTGATCGATACGTCATTTGATCGACAAGTCATTTGATCGAATAGACATTTGATCGAAAAGACATTCGAGCAAATGTCTATTCGATCAAATATCTTTTCGAGCAAATGTCTTTTCGAGCAAATGTCCATTCGATCAAATGTCTTTTCGAGCAAATGTCCATTCGATCAAATGTCTTTTCGAGCAAATGTCTATTCGATCAAATGTCCATAAGATGAAATGTCTTTTCGAACAAATGTCCATTCGATCAAGTGACTTTTCGATCAAATGTCTTTTCGATCAAATGTCTATTCGATCAAATGACTTTTCGAGCAAATGTCCATTCGATCAAATGTCTATTCGATCAAATGACTTTTCGAGCAAATGTCCATTTGATCGAATGTCTTTTCGAGAAAATGCCGTTCGATCAAATGTCTTTTCGAGCAAATGTCTATTCGATCAAATGACTTTTCGAGCAAATGTCCATTCGATCGAACGTCTTTTCGAGCAAATGTCCATTCGATCAAATGTCTTTTCGATTGAATGTCTTTTCGAGCAAATGTCCATTCGATCAAATGTCTTTTCGAGCAAATATCCATTCGATCAAATGTCTTTTCGAGCAAATGTCTATTCGATCAAATGACTTTTCGATCAAATGTCTTTTCGAGCAAATGTCCATTCGATCAAATGTCTTTTCGAGCAAATGTCTATTCGATCAAATGACTTTTCGATCAAATATCTTTTCGATCAAATGACTTTTCGATCAAATGTCTATTCGATCATATGACTTTTCGAGCAAATGTCCATAAGATGTCCATAAAAGTAAAATGGCCGCCGTGCTATAGCATCGTACAATTTCGCTCCGTCTTTGAATCTCGCTATGTTTTATTATAAATAAAGTTTTTTGTGGTGTTCTGTATATATGAGACCTGTTAGTCAGGGTAAAGCTGATTATGACTTGATTATTAATTAGTTTATTATCCTTAGCATTAAAATCTGGTGAATTGTTCTTAGTGACCGGTAATTTTTTCCTCGTGTGCACCTCAGTGTTTTCTCCCTGTTACGGTTATTGGTTTTACCAAATCATAACTCAAAGATAATAAAGTGCATTCAAATCCGTACATTATAGTGAATAGTCAGTTTTTCTGACGTATACTTAACCCTTTTCCCAGTGAATTTACGTCTAAAACAATTTAAGCGGTGACAGTTTTGGATGGGTGTGTACTTTGTTTTAAACGAGACTGTACCCCTTTCTCAAAACCCTTTTAAACACGCCGTTCCACACAAATGAATATGTCATATACCGTCGTTGACTATTCCGACGTAGCTGATGCAAAGTGTACATTGTGTAGGAACAGAATCAAAAAAGCTTACCAGTGCCCGGGTTGTAAATCCCCCTACCACCCAAGTTGCTTCGAAAAAACTACATTAATTCCAAATATAGGCCTTAAAAAGTGTTGTGGATCTACTTCCCCAGTACCGCCAAATATGGATACGCAACTATCATTTTCAAAGGAACAACTAAAACTTATTGTCAGAGAAGCAGTAAAGGAGGAATCGGATAAGGTGCAGCAGTCACTCTCACGTGTCGAGAACACACTTGCTGGGATCTCCGAGCAAATGGCAAACCACAACAAGCGGCTAATAACATGTGAGTCAAATATAGACGATATGGTCACTCGCTTACAATCTCTCGAACACAAAGAACAGGCTACTTCAAGTAATACACTTAACCTCCCTTCCCCTGCCTGTTTCGAAGAATGGGAAGATCGTTTGCAACGTAAGAATAATTTAATAGTATTTGGTTTCCCCGAACACGCTCATGGAAACCTGGATCAAGTAGTCACGACGAGGATCTCCTAGCTATCGTTAATTTTTTCAACACAGTGTTGCCTGATCCTCCCCCCCTTACTACTTTCAAAATCTTTAGGATTGGTTTTCTGTCTCAGGTCTCGAAGAAACCCAGACCACTGAAAGTAATCTTCCAGAATGCAACGCTTCCACGTCAAATCAAAGAAGCCTTCACCAGAAACAGAAAACAATTAGCTCCACAAATGTCAGCTATTGTAATTGCTCCAGACAGAACGAAGTCACAACAAGCCGAGTACCAGTCGGTGAGGAAAGCAATGACAGACCGTATGATGAACGGAGAAACGGACTTAGTCATCCACTATCGTCACGGAACACCTTTCATAACCAAGGCTCGCCTTCAACAAGCTGCACAACAAAACAAATAAAACCTAGCAATTATCACAAGTTTAACCTACAAATTTTTTATCAAAATTCGCGCGGCTTGAACACCAAAATAGATTTTCTAAAATGTTTCCCAGATTATTTTTTGTTCGAGATTTTTTGTTTAACAGAAACGTGACTAAAGCCGAACGTGAATTCCAATGAATTGTTTGATTCTAGTGTTTTTGACATTTACCGCAATGACAGACTACAGAAACGTGGAGGAGGGGTCTTGGTGGCAATCAACAATGAATTTCGATCTCAGTTAATCGATTGTTCTACAATAACAAAAGCGTGTCCGGACGTCAACGTTATTGGTCTTCTCATTTCAAAAATGACTTTTACTTTCATTATTATCACTATTTATATACCTCCGGAAATCTCTGTGGGAAATTTTTCATCAGTAATCAATGCATTTAAGTACATTGACATTTTAAATTCTTTTCCACTTATTGTTATTGGCGATTTTAATGTGCCTTCTTTTACCAAAAATAACGCTAAACATATAAATGATTCAAAATCTTTTTCTTTACATGAATTTAGCGCATTTTTCAATTTCTCACAAATCAATACAATTTACAATGAATATAATCGCATTCTTGACCTTGTGTTTACCAACATAAATAGTTCCACTGCTCATGTTTCTTTTCCACTCGTTCCTGAAGACACACACCATCCGGCCATTGCTATCTTTTCCCAACTCACCTCCACTCACAAATTTATTCCTTCTCAGTTTGTGACTAATGTAAACAATAATGACATTGTAAAATTTAACTTTCGCAAAGCGCGTTTAGACCTCTTATATGTGCATTTTTCATCGATTGATTGGTCTTCTCTTTTTAATCATGTTGATACCGAAGCTATATGTGAAATTTTCTTAAAAACTATTTTCGATTCTTTCCAACAATTTGTACCACTAAAAAATGCTAATCAACGAAATTGTCGACGTTACCCTCCTTGGTTTAATCAAAACATAATCAATGATATTCACATCAAAACCAATCTTTTGAAAAAACGAAAAAATTGTTCTAGTTACTATGAACCACAAATAGCATTACTGTCATCTACTATTCACAAAAATATTAGAAAAGAATATCGAAGTTACATGAAGAGAATAGAGCAGAACATATACGAGCACCCTAAAAGTTTCTGGTCATTTGTGAATAATACTAACAAAAAACCACCGTTACCTGACACAATGTTCTACAATAATCAATCACTAGATTCGCCTCAATTAATTGTTAACGCAATTGCTAACTTATTCGCTTCTATAAATTGTGGAATTTTTTTACAGACCCATCAATCTGTTAATTTCCAATCAATTTCTGATCAGGAAAACGTGACTGAATTTTTTACTCCAAACTTAATCATCAAGGCGGCTAAGTCTCTTAAATCAAATTCTACGGCAGGCCTTGACGGGATTCCAAGTTTTCTCGTGAAAGATTGCATAACTACATTAGCATTTCCATTATCTTACATTTTTAATATCGCTCTAAATACTGCTACCTTCCCGAGAGTCTGGAAGACCGCCAAGGTCATACCTGTTTTTAAATCTGGTGATAAGACCGACTGCAAGAATTATCGACCCATTGCTATTATTCCTAATTTTGCTAAAATTTTTGAATTTACTATTAAACAAACTCTTAATAATGCTATTAAGTCTATTGTCTCTGAGAATCAACATGGTTGTATAACGAAGAGATCAACCACGACTAACTTAGCAATTATAACGCATTTCATTACTAAATCCTTGCAGTTGGGATATCAAGTTGACGTGATTTATCTGGACTTTGCAAAAGCCTTCGATTCAATTGATCACACAATCCTAGGTAAAAAATTTGATTTGTTAAATATCCCGATAAATCTCAAACTTTTAATTCTCAACTACTTAAAGGACCGATCCCACAGAGTAGCCTCGGGAAACTACCTTTCTCCTCCCTTCGTCCCCACACGAGGCGTACCTCAGGGTTCCTCTCTGGGATCACCCCTTTTCACAGTTTACATTAACGACATAACTGACAATATTCAATCTTGTGCACTTATCTTTGCTGACGACCTTAAAATATTTCGTCGTATTAATTCTATTTTCGATGCAACTGCCTTGCAGGACGATCTTCATGCGATCTCGCTCTGGTGCACTGATAATAAACTTCCTCTAAATTATTCTAAATGTCATATCCTTTCTTTCAATAAATCGGGTTTCCCTTTTCTTTTTCCTTACACTATCGATAATATTCTTGTTACCAGAGTGACATCGACATGTGACCTTGGAGTAACTTTTACGTATGATTTGAGTTTTGAAGATCATATCTCTTCGATGGTCACTACACTCAACAAACGCCTCGGCTTTCTAATGAGATCATCAAAAAATTTTTCGAACATTAAAACTTTTACGCTATTATTTAATGCAATGGTCAGATCCCCTGCGGAGTATGCATCAGAAATATGGTCTCCTTATTTTAAAAAGTATTCGGAACAGATTGATAGGGTTCAGAAGCGTTTTCTTAAATTCTTAGTTTTCAAAAAAGACGGCAGATACCCGCCCAGAGGCTGTGATTATTTAATGTCGTGTCAGCGTTTTGATTATGTAACTTTGGAGGAAAGGCGTATAATATCGGTTGTATTATTTATTTTTAAGATTATCAGGTATTTCATTGATTGTCCGACGCTATTAAGCATGATTAATTTTAGACTACCTCGCATCTCGTCTCGTAGTAGTGAACCGTTTTATATAGCAAAAAAAGATCTACAGTTGATTAACAGAACCCCGATTTTTAGTGCATGCTTTCATATCAATCAACTTTATCAAGTAGACGGTTTCGATATTGATTTGTTTACAATGTCTCAATTAGAATTTAGTAAATATTTGAATAAATATGTTCTGTCATTGCGCGAAATTAGAAATTAAAAGTTTAATAATTGTTTTTTGCTATAGCACTATTTTAGTTATCCATTTATGGTCCTCTTTGGACTGCGGAGATATGTATTAAATAAATAAATAAATAAATAAGATGAAATGTCTTTTCGAGCAAATGTCCATTCGATCAAATGACTTTTCGATCAAATGTCTTTTCGAGCAAATGTCCATTCGATCAAATGTCTTTTCGGTTGGTCATCTAAACAAACTGTATTTTTCTTTTAACATAAACGAATGAACTTAAGACAATAAGCTGTAATTCTCAAAATTTTCGGCCAACTAGAAAACTTTGTAGTCAAACGTTCAAACACGAAATTATCCTGTGTGCTTATTACAGTCAAGACATTAACTGTTTTTCCGGAGCTTGCTCAGAATTAATCGATAATGAATTATTTACAGGCCACGTGGAGTCAGGGTCTTGTAGCCATTGTGGACCATTCCACCATATTGCATTATCTATTAATTGGGATGGTGTTAAACCCCGCGAAGCACAGTCAGCGGGATTATCTTTAGTATTTACGTATCGCCATTTAATCTCAGGAACAAGGGTTTGTACTTGGGATACCCAATTAGCTACAAATGTTCGCCACGTGGATGGATGTTTACTTAACCAATTAAGAGCAACCATAGAATCAGTCCATCCAAAAATATCTGAATTTATTATCCTCAAATCATTTTCTACTTTATTAATCAACTTGGTGAGTAATGCAGTCGCGCAGAGTTCAAGACGAGGGATTGTTATTTGTTTTAGTGGGGCTACCTTTGTTTTTGAAGATACTAGCTCCTCCGACGGCCGCAAGCGGCCGTCTACGGTGCTAGTTTTTATATGTCCATTGTCCAAGTCCATTATTTCATTAATAATAATATTCAAATTTTTTCAGTTAATAATTTGCTTATTTATATTTGAAATGTTGACGTTTTTTTTGACAATGCAAAATAAGATTTATTATGAGTACTTTCTCTTAACAAAAATTAAATTTATATATTCGCGCTCTTTTTAAATAACATACGACTGCAGCGCCACCTTCACATGTACAAACAATTTTAAAAACACCCTTCTATTAAGATTTTACATTCTCATTGCCCATTCTTTACTTCGATACTTTTCGATACATTCGACCTTTCCACTCCATGTCTTTTTTAAGAAAGGATACAAGTGTAATTATGGGCTTTTCATTATCATTTAAAACACGTATATATACTACAGCAGCGTAAGCCTTATTGGAAGCGTCTGCAAATCCGTGAATTTCATATATACTTTTTTTACTTCGACCAGTCCATCGGGGAATTGCAATTCTTTTTGCATTTTCAAGATTAAAGCAATAACTTTGCTGAATAACTGGAGATATCCATCCAAGTGGATCAAACTGTCGCGATATAACTGAAAGAATTGTACGTTTCGACCACTTATCAAATTTATCAATTTTTACAGATAATAAAAATTCATCGCAATCCGAATGCCAATGAAGTCCAAAAATAGCTTTATTAGAAGAATCATGATCAACTAAACTAATAATACTTTGATCATCATGTATTTGATTTTAATAAGACAGGATGATTAGCGTTAAATTTACGCAATGGAAACCCTCCCTTTTTTAATAATTGTATTAAGTCTTCCTTAACTTTTAATGTTTCTTTTACGGTATCATCACCAAAAAGAATATCGTCGACATAAACATTTTCTTTTAAGATTAAACTCGCTTCTACATAATTCCCTCCTTCATCTTCAGCTAACTGTTTTAAGACCCTATTGGCAAGATATGGCGCACAAGCCGTCCCATATGTAACTATTAATAACTGACAATGTTGAAGATTTCCATTAGGTTTTGTTCTACAAACAATTCGTTGATAATCAACGTCCATTTCGTCGACTAGAATTTGCCTAAACATTTTACATATATCTCCAGTCAAGACGAATTTGTAAGTTCGCCAACGAATTATTAAAGAAGTTATGTCATTATGTAACTTGGGACCTACCATTAATTGTTCATTCAATGAACTAACAGAGGACGTTGGACTTGAAGCATTAAACACTAATCGTACTGGTGTAGTAGAGCTGTTTTCTTTAATTATAGGATGGTAAGGTATATAAATAGGATGTGGAAAATTAGTTAGTAATGATGGATCTACCTTAATAGACCTCATATGATTTAGCTCTTCATATTCATTGAGAAAGTTGTAAAATTGTATTTCAAGATCCGGACTTTCTTTAAGATTACGTTCTGTTTTTAATAACATAGCCATGGCAGTGGGAAAGGAATATCCTAATAGAGAAAGAGCATTTTCCTTTATAGGTAGTCGCACAATATATCGACCTTCTAAATTACGAGTATGAGTATCACAAAAAAACTTTTTACACATTTGTTCCTCATCAGTTAGAAACTTTTGATTCTCAAACTCCTCTAAATGCCAAAATCGACTTAGTTCTTCTTGCCAGTCTGATATCTTGATACAATGTTGTGATAAAACTATGAAATTATAATTCGGATCTGATTAATTTACTGAACCTGATAGAATCCATCCTAATATAGTAGATTGTGCTATAGGGCTACCTACTAAACCTTTTTTTACTTCCCTCAATAATAGTAAACCGTAATATTCTGCCCCTATTACTATTTGAATCTCATCTTTACTAAAAGGCAAAGGATCATCGAGAAGAAGGTCGTGCAGATGTGTCCAATGTGGGGCTAACGTCTCTAAAAAAGGGACATATCCCGTTAACCTGGGTAGAACTAGAGCTGAGATTTTGATACCTTGGTGAGGATTGTATATTGATGAAATCATTATTTCTGCTCGTGACTTAACAGTACCTACGTAGGTTTTATCGATAGTTTCAACTGTTATGGATTCGGGGATCATTTTGATTTGAAGCATTTGAACTAACTTATTAGAAATAAATGTCACTTGAGAGCCCTGATCTAATAATGCACGAATAACAGTTTCACGTCCCTTTAAATCACACTGAAAAAGTTTTAGGCCGTTAGCTGTACTGGTTCTCTTAAAACGCCAGAACAAGTGTTTTCCTTCTGACCAGCACGTCAGACGTCCTTTTTCTTGACAGTAGACTTACTTTTTCAGTTCAACCGCCGTGCTGATAGCTATTTCCCTAAACCACAGAACAACGCATGCGCTGAAAAAGTATGTCAACTGTCTTAAAAAAGGACGTCTGACGTGCTGGTTGAAAGGGGAACTGGTTGTTTCGGAACCAGTACAGCCAACGGTCTAACATTTTTTTAGTGCACGTATTAAAATTTTCGCAGTGGGTAATAAACTAATAGGGGAGTTTTCTAGTCAAATTTTAGAAGAATTTAACGAGTGACTGAGTCTTACGTTGTCGTCATCTACTTTTGTAGACGATGAAGATGTAGAAGGAATTTCGATCTTGCTTTCCTTTTTTATAGAATTTTTTTTATTAGGGTTTCTAGTAAGAAGTATCATAGAATGATGTCGGCGTTTACAATGGATACAATCGTTTTCACTTGTACACTTTTGTGCAACATGTCCTTGTCGAAGACAATTAAAGCAAAGTTTGCGTTCTTTAACTAATTTAAATCTTTTTGAAACAGAGAGTTTTAAATTGATCACATCTACAAAGTAAATGTTTCCCACCGCACAAGCAACAATCGTCATTAGACAATGTGACGTTAAATGATTTTACTAAATTTGTAGATGTCTGATTTTTCTTTGTATGATTATTATTAGAACTGCAATTTTTTGTAGTAGTCAATATAGATTCAATGGCTTCTAATGTACGAATACGAGTGCTTAAAAATGAATCAAGTTGTTTATATGTAGGAAAGTCTTTCTCCTACATGTTTTTCCCATTCGATTAGTGAAAATTTACTTAATTTTTTGACTGTGATAACTACAAGTAAATCGTTTTCAATATCTCTGTCTAAATTTTGCAATGCTCGCATAATCTCTGCGGTAATATCGCGTAAATTCTTTAACTCAACAACCGAATCATTTTGAACTGATGGGATAGCTAAGAGTTTATTGATAAGTGAATTTATAATTACACGTTTATTTTCATATCTTTTGTTAAGCATTTCCCAAGCACTTAAAAAGTTTGCTTCCGTAATACTTAAGTGTCTCACAAGTTGTGCTGCTTGGTCAGTTAAACAAAATTTGAGATAATGTAATTTTTGTGTATCATGTAAATTAGTATTAGAAACTATTTAGGAATGAAAAATATCACGAAAATTAGGCCACTCAATATAATCAC